TCCAGTGAAGATCAGCTCTTATCACGAAAATTACAATGAATTCAAACATAACAGAGATTTCTATTGCTGATTTTAAACCTTATATTCTAAAATACATCCAACAACGAGAAACAGAAGAAACATTTGAATCGTGCTGCAGCCAAATAGTAAATCGTCCGTTTCAATTGCTTATTTTTTTCTTTTTTTCTTTTTTTTTTCTCTAGAAATTTCATATTTGTGTAAAGAAAATTTTACATATTGTATAACATTCATGTTTTTCTTTTCTTTTTAAACTTAATCTTTTGTTTGATATACTTGGGAGATGTCAAAATCGGAAGATATTTATTAGCATTAAAAAATAAAATCATTCACTCAATATTCAAAAACGTATTCGAAACGGCTGCTGCGCAAAACAATGTTTAAGATAATACAATAATTCAACATGCTTTGAAACTGTAAGAAGATAGAAAAATCACAGAAAAATTCTTGTTCTTCCTTGGATAATCAAATATTGATAATGATATCCATTTGAATCAGCATTTAAAACATTTAACAAAAATCTTAAAAATGTTAAATCTTAAATCTTTTTTTATAATTTCATTTTTTTTAAATACATAAACACATATTTAACATTTCGTAAATAATACTTGAAATAGAAGCAATCGAAATAAATTTTAATAATCATATTACGATATAGAGAGCATACGAGAGTGTTTTGGTTTCTTTTTGATAACATTTATGTGCTATCGATATTTTCTTTTTTTTTTTCTTTGCTTTTTTTTTATTTTACAATGAAATTTTTTTTCTGTAGTTCTTCTATTTCAAGTTTCAAAATTAATTACAAAAAAAACTTCTTTTTTCATGGATAAGTGTTTTTTAAAACAAAACAACAAAGCATAAAAAGTATCACTCAAAAAGAAAAGAGGGGAAAAAAAAAAAAAAAAAATTGCTTTCTAATGTGCACATATGAAAAATGCCTTTGACATATGTCTTTATATTTTCAGTGCACATAACTTGTTAAACATTATATAGTTACACTATGTATAATATGACACTGCGGTGTATAATACTACAGACCTTAGGTCAGTAAATTCAAAGGCAATTCTCATGTACCATTACCCATTTTCTACCAAATGATATATAAAAGTACTACGTATGATAATGAATACGACTGATTCGTAAAATTTTGTTTGTGCAACAAAATTTTACTATAATTTCAAATATTTCATCTACTTATTTTATATTCATGATTTGCATAAATGGATGTGATTGCGTCTAAAATTATCGCTAATAGGCGCTTTTTGTTCATTTTTTCGTATAAGAGCTAATCGCTCTTAAAATACAATTATATAATATGATTAGAGATTTTATCGCTAACATAATATTAAAAAAATCGAATTATTTTAAAAATTCGAGATTACTTTTTTTAAACTGTTCCTTGGACAGTATATTTTCTTTTTTTTTTTTTTTTACTTCTCTTCGTAGATTTTTCGTTTTCTTCTCTCTCACTAGTATTATACACCAACGTACATTACGTAAATATTTTTTAAATATTTTATTTTGTCTTATTATGCACTTTCCCCATGCATTAGAACCATCACTATTCACAATATGGATAGTAGAATTGAAGAATTGTATATGTGTATTATGAGGTACACTTATGTTGAAAAAAAAATTCTTAGAATTGTACAGATGTTTCAATTTCATTTTGATTATTCCAGTTGTGAATTTTACATATCACATTTTTTAGACATCCGTTCCAATATGTCGTCATGGATTTTCATTTCGCTCGTGTTCACTTCCTATTTTTTGTAATTTATACCACAGATTTATCAACGTCGCACTTGAGCTATCATTTATTATGACTGTTGCTAATTGCTCTTCCAACTTTTGTCTTAAACTGACTTGATTACCTACAATTCCATTGGTATGAATACACAATATGCACTTCTTCATGTTTTTTTTTACCTTAATGCACCAACGTATAAGTTTCATTCGAGTGTGAGTGAAAATTTTTTTAATGTGTCTTTCTCACAATTTATATGTCGATGTTTTCGTTCGAGTAATAAGTCATTTATTTAATGTTACTGTCTATTCGCGTTTATTAACGATACGATTATACACAATTTACATCCGCGACACTGTGTTTCATTATAAGCTTAGAGAATTGTTTTTTTTTATCAATGCTGTTGCATTGCACAAATTTTTTTTATTATTTAAACAGTTTTTTTTAAATATCGTCACGATCATTACGTGTCCTTTTTTTATTGACGTATACACATACGTTATTTTTTATTTTCATCTTTTTACACAGATCCACTGCACTTTTTTTGCTTTATATTCAAAGTTAAAGAAACTTAATGAAAAAAAAGTCACAAGAATAATTTGTGGCATATTTTCGGTCAATTAATATTTAACCGCAGTAGTTTGTTTTTATTACATTTAAATAAATTTGATGTTATCTAATTAATAGATTTGCTTACATAAGAAATCCATTGTCACTGTTCTTCTTGTTTATCGACGTCTTTTTTTTTCTTTTTCATTGCGGAGTTCTTTATTACGTAATCGCAAGAAATAAAATCTTGACTTTGTGAAATCGCTTTTAACGAAGAACAATAAAAAAGCAAAAGAGAAGAAAACAATTTTCTATTAATTTTCCTTCTAGCAAAATGTGTATTATATCAAATAATGTTGAATCACGATATCTGATTGAATT